GTGATTATATGTTGCAGTGACTTTCCCACACTTTTCATTTTCTTTGTTTTGTTTCTATGTTATCTATACAGGCAGGGTACTGTGCTGTGCTCCTCTCTTCACTAGTTGACAGCACTTATACACTCACCACCTGTCTCCTTTCCTGTTGAGAGCCTCTCGTATGTCCTTGCTGACCCTGGCAAACAGAGCCTGTTCTTAGGTCCCTGGAATCCGAATAAGAATGCTATCACTTTAAAATCCAAAATGGTTGCCACTTGTAAACATTCAAAATGGCTGCGCCCTTGGTCACTTTAAATATCCAAAATGGCCACCGCTTGTAAATATTCAAAATGGCTGCACCCTTGGTCACTTTAAATATCCAAAATGGCTGCTGCTTATAAACATTCAAAATGGCTGTGCCCTCAGTCACTTTAAATATCCAAAATGGCTGCCACCTGTAAACATTCAAAATGGCTGCGCCCTCAGTCACTTTAAATATCCAAAATGGCTGCCACGTGTAAACAAACAAAATCGCTGTGCCCTCCGGACAGCAGAAAGTCCACAGCTCAGGTTGTGTCCCTCCTTGGTGCTTCCCTTCCTAGTCATAGGCCACCAGAACAGTTGTCCCTGCAGCCCTTGGTGACAAGGACTGATATTTAGGTCAATTCTCAGGTCCTAATACCACTTGGAAATATTCAGGCTGTTGGTCTCGTCAGAGTAGCTGACAGTCCGCAGCTCCTACCTTCTCTGTACTCACTGTTTTCATTCAGGTTTTTCCACTAGTTGGTGCCCAATCCACTTCTGTACAGTTCCTTTGACATCTCAGGGTTCCAGGATTACCTTCTGTATCTCTGTCAACTGGGTTCTCTTTTCTTTGTTGAAGAGGGCCTGTGTCGCTTGTCTGCCTATTCCTCCATCTTACTGGAAGTCCCTTTTCTGTCTTTTTAATGACCTTTTGCTTTCTTCATGTATGATGTTCTTGATGTCATCCCACAAGTCATCTGGTCTTTGATTACTGTCATTCAATGTGTCAAATCTATTCTTCAGAGGGTCTCTAAATTCAGGTAGTATATAATCATAGGGAGCTCCGGTAGCATAGTGCCTAAGGCACTTGACTGCTAACCAGAAGGCTGGTGGTTCAAACCCACCAGCCACTCCTCGGAAGGAAGATGGGATAATCTACTTCCATAGTGATACTGCCTCGGAAACCCAAGGAGGGGTCGCTATGAGTCAAGTGCGACTCGACGGCACATAACAACAACAATGTAATCATGGTCATTATTTTGGCATTCGTGGATTTGTTTTAATTTTCTCCAGATTAACTTGAAGTTGCATATGAGCTACTGATGGTCTGTTGTAGTCATGTAGTCAGCTCCTGGCCTTATTTTGACTGATGATACTGACCTTTTCCATTGCCTCTTTCCAAAGATACAGTCAATCTCTGTGTATTCCATCTGCAAGGTCCTCATGTATAGCTGCCATTTATACTGTTGCATCTTTAGCTGACAGAGCTATCAGCTAGACTTACAACACCACTGCCATCGAGTCAATATGGACTCATAGTGACCCTATAGGACAGAGTAGTACTGGCCCACAGGGTTTCCAAAGCTGTAAATCTTTATGGAAACAAACTGCTTCATCTTTCTCCTGTAGAGCAGCTGGTGGGTACAAAGCACCTACTTTCTGGTTGGCAACCAAATGCCTCAGCCATTGCACCACCAAAGCTCCTCAGCAGCCTCCAGAGTATGTGAATTCCTAGCATATCCTCATAAAACTACATTACCCATCACTCTTAAATACTGGTTTATAAACTCATTATTTACCTTCATTAATATAAACGTAGGTTCTAGAGAAAAAAGAATCACTAAAATAGGCATAAGCATTCTCCCAAGTAGGCTCATACTCTGCTCAGTGTATAGACTACACTATATAGATTCTAGAGAGGTGCTACACAAATTTTCATACTGGTCTTCTGAGCCACTGAAAAAGATAGCAATTGGGTAGAAAAGCACTGAATGAGCAGTCATAAGAGCCAGGTATGTAAGTCTGGCCATGTGACTTTGGAAAAGTCATGTAACTTTCTAGAGCTTTGGTTTCTTATCTGTAAGATGGGGTTAGTCACTCTTCCTATGTTATGGTAATGAGAATCCAAGGTAAAATGCTATACAAACAAGGTGATTAATATTAAGTGATTACTGCAGTGACTCCCAGGATATTACAAAGATCAGATGAGCTAATGTTATTAGCTAGTATTGATTTTCTTTAAAACTTTTCACTTTCCACTTTCCAAGTTACATCTTCTTTACATGAACACATACAACTAATATTCATTCACAATGTTCTAAATAGAAATGGTGTTGTGTTTTCACAATAACCCACTGCAATTGAGTCAATTTTGACTGATAGTGACCCTACAGGATTGAGTAGAACTGCCCCATAGGGTTTCCAAGGCTGTAAATTTTTACAAAAACAGACAGCCTCATATTTTTACTGTGGAGCAGCTGGTGGGTTCAAACCACTGACCTTTCATTTAGCAGCCGAACTTCTTAACCACTATGCCACTGTTGTTGTTGTTAGGTGCTGTCAAGTCGTTTCTGACTCATAGAGACCCCATGCACAACAGAATGAAACACCGCCCGACTCCGCGCTAACTCCATGATCGTTGCTATACTTGAGCCCACTGTCGTAGCCACCGTGTCAATCCATCTCATCGAAGGCCTCCCCCTCTTTTGTCAACCCTCTACCTTACCAAGCATCACATCCTTCTCCAAGGAATGGTCCTCTCTGACAACGTGACCAAAGTAGGTGAGACGAAGTCTGGCCATCCTCGCTTCCAAGGAGCATCTTGGCCACACTTCCTCCAGGACAGATTTGTTAGTTCTTTTGGGAGTCCATGGTACCTTCAGCATTCTTCACCAGCACCACAACTCAAAAACATCAACTCTTCTTTGGTCTTCCTTATTCATTGTCCAGCTCTCACATGCATACTAGGCGATTGGAAATATCATGGCCTGTGTCAGGTGCACCTTAGTCCTCAAGGAGACATCCTTGCTCCTCAGCACCTGAAAGAGTTCCTTCGCAGCTGACCTGCCCAGTGCTACACGTCGTCTAATGTCCTGACTGCTGTTTCCATTGGCATCAACTGTAGAACCAAGCAATGTGAATTCTTTTGACAACCTCAATCTTTTCTCCATTTATTGTGATGCTGCTTATTGGTCCAGATGTGAGGATTTTTGTCTTCTTTATATTGAGATGTAATCCATACTGCAGACTGTGTTCCTTAGTCTTTATCAGTAAGTACCTCAAGTCATCCTCACTTTCAGCAAGCAAAGTTGTATCATCAGCGTATCTCAGGTTGTTAATGATTCTTCCTTCCTGTGTCACTAGAACTCCTTTTATAATAATGTTGTTAGGTGGTATCGAGTCTCCTCCAATTCATAGCAACCCTATATACAGCAGAATGAAACAGGGCCTGGTCCTTCACCAACCTCACAATTCTTGCTATGCTTGAGCTCATCATTGCAGCCACTGTATTAATCTATCTCATTGAGGGTCCTCCCCTTTTTCACTGACCCTCCACTTTGCCAAGCATGATATCCTTCTCCAGGGAATGGTCCCTTCTGACATGACCAAAGTAGGTGAGACGAAGTCTGGCCATTCTAGCTTCCAAGGAGCAATCTAGGACAGATTTGTTCACTCTTCTGGTAGTCCACAGACTTTTCAGTATTCTTCACCAACACAATTCAAATGCATCAATTCTTCTTCTATCTTCCTATTCATTGCCTGGATTCCACCTGCATATGAGGTGATTGAAAACACCATAGCTTGGGTTTAGGCATACATTTGTTTTCAAAGTGACATCTTTGCTCTTCAACACTTTAAAGAGGCCTTTTGCAGTAGATTTGCCCAGTGCAATACCTTGTGTGATTTCTTGACTGCTGCTTCCGTGAGTGTTGATTGTGGATCTGAGTAAAATAAAATTTTTAATAACTTCAATCTTTTCTCCATTTATCATGCTGCTGCTTACTGATCCAGTTGTGAGGATTTTCATTTTCTTTATGTTGAGATGTAATGCATACTGAAGACTATAGTCTTTAATCTTCATCAGTAAGTGCTTCAAATCATCTGCACTGTCAGCAAGCAAGGTTGTGTCATATGCATATCACAGGTTGTTAATGAGTTTTCCTCCAATCTTAATGCCACATTCCTCTTCATATAGTCTAGCTTCTCAGATTACTTGTTCAGCACACTCATAGAATAAATGTAGTGAAAGGATACAACCCTGACACATAACTTTCCTGATTTTAAACCATGAAGTAAACAAACTAAAAAACTCAAACCCACTGGTATCGAGTTGATTCCAACTCATAGCGACCCCCATTAGATTTCCAAGTCTATAAATAGTTATGGAAGTAGACTGCCTCATCTTCCTACTGAGGAGCAGCTGGTGGGTTTGAACCGCCAATCTTTGGGTGAGCAGCTCTTACCCACTACACTAAAAGAACTCCTTTTATTTACTTATTTTTTTAAAATAATAACACCTACCACTTATTATGGGAGCTCTGGTAGCATAGTGCCTAAGGCACTCGACTGCTAACCAGAAGGCTGGCGGCTCAAACCCACCAGCCACTCCTTGGAAGGAAGGCTGGGCATTCCTACTTCTGTAGTGATACTGCCTCGGAAACCCAAGGAGGGGTCGCTATGAGTCGGGGCCGACTCGATGGCAAATAACAACAACAACAACAACCACTTATGAGCTCACTAAATCCCAGACCAAGTATTTTACAGATCTGATCTCATTTCATCTTCAGTACAACCTCAAAAGGCAAGTATAATTATTCCTACTACAGAGTTGAGGAAACTAGGACTTAGCCAAGTAACCAGGATTCAACTTCAAATGCTGTGATTCTAAAACTTGTGGAGCTTAGCCTCCAGATACTTCTTTGCGTGCCACAGAAGAAACCACCACTGTTCCAAAATTCACTAACCCACAATACAGGTACTAATGCAAACATGCTTACCTGCTGGCCACTTTCTCTGCTTTTCCTCTGATTTGCTCTTCTTTAGTGTCAACAAAGAACCAGCCCTGGTCTGCTCTATAGAAATGACATCTGAAGCCGCATTCAGCACTTCAAACATAGAGAGAAATCCATATTGCACATACTGGAATGATCGTCCAAATCGCTTGGCAAAAGCCTTTTCAAAATCCGAAAGAAGAACTGGAGATAATGCCAAGAGATCTTTCAACTCACTCTTTACAACAGCTGGAAGAATAGGGGGTACTCTTCCTCGGTAAGGTACTCTTCCACGAGCGCTCGGTCCAGGGCAAACACTGCCCCTTTCCTTCAGCATGGAGTTTCGAACCTTATGGCTGCTCCTCTGTTTTGCGACTAAACTTGCTATTCCTTTGGTGGATTCATCTGGAATAGCTAAAGAGATAGTGAAAAAAGAAATCACATTTGGATGGGAGTTACTCCCTTCTTTGACCTTTGTATCTGTGCTTATACAATTTTTAATTCTCCAAGGATCTGCTTCTCTAGGTACCACATAAAAATGAAACCTTGGTTCCTCCACTTCTTGGATTTTAGACAATGGCTTGTTACCTCCTCCACCAGAAGATAAAAAATCCAATGTACCATCATTACTGCTAATTGGCTCCTGAAAAATTTTAAAACTCTTTTTAAAGTCCGAATGAACAATAAACTTCCCACCAGTGTTCTCTTGTGCTTCATAGAATTAAAACATGCTTTCATAATTAGAAAGTCCCATTGTTATGTTTGTCTACGGTACAATAACCTGAAATCATATGGAAAACATAGTTTTTGTGAATGCATACTGTCTGGGGAAAAAAAAAATTCTTAATTTTGCTGAGATTCACAACCTCAAAGGGACCTATGACACTCCCCCCACAAAACCTCCAAAATTTTAGAATCCACTGCCTGGGGTGCGGGATAATTGCAAAACTAGAAAAAATCCTTTACAAGGTGATTATTTTCCGTACACAATGCACAGACCTTCACAAATTTAAACCTACCTTTCAATATTACAGTATCATCCCCACAGGGGCAGACACTAACAACATCAGGCATGTCCAAAACCAGCTCCATAGTAGACCGATATCCAAGGATTCGGAGTGGTAGATGATTGCCAACCATGAAAAGGTACTCCTTTTCCAACTGTTGTGGGGTTAAACCATCTTTGGTGGAAATGAGAAGTGACCTTATTTCTTTCCTCAGGCATTCCTGTATTCGCTCTTGTTCAGACATTTCCCCCTACAAGGTTTAGGTCAGAAATACTGCTTATGAGGAAAAACAGATAAACTCAAGATGAAAGAACGCTTAAAATGATCAATAGTGAAATTTTACAACTGTGAATTTTAAAAGTGATTAAAACAAAACAAAACAAAAAATTCACTGCCATCGAGTTGTTCCAGACTCACAATCCTTAGGTTTCCAAGGAGTATCTCTACTGAAGTAGACTGCCCAGTCTGCCTTCTGTGGAATGGCTGGTGGGTTCGAACCACCAGCCTCTGGTTAGCAGTCAAATGCCTTAGGCACTACGTCACCAGAGCTCTCTTCAAAGGTGGTAAGGTACAAATAATACTGGGATTTGGGCACCACAGAGCCCCCACACAATTTAAGCTCTAAATCTCAAGATGAGTTTATTAACCTACCTATATCTCAAGAGACCCTTGCCACTGACTAGTGTGCGAGAAGTCCAAGTTCCTGTCTCGTTTTATTATTATTTGTGAAAGCGTTAACTCGGATTTGAGGTCCTAGCCTACATTGCAAACTTTGTAACGGAATCTCTGTACAAGCTTTGAAAACAACAAAAAAAAAAAAAAACGGAAAATAAGGCAAACAAAATACTGCCTTCACGAATAAAAGAAGAGGACCCCATGTAAACTCGCTCCACTTGCATACTTTTTCTACGTCCCAAACCCACGGCCAAGGTCCTGGTTTCCTCTGACCTGAACTCAACTACCTCATCTTCCCCCGCCTGGTTCCCACTTTCCCTAGGAGCCCTCTTCCCGCCCCCACCACCAACGTCCAGACCTCACTGTCCCTAGAAGGAGTAAGGCGTCTTCGTACACCAGCCCCAGTGGCTACTCTCGACCCGAGTGGAAAAGGAAGGCAGGGGGGAGGCAGTGGAGCGCCCCTCTGCGGTCTGGCATCGCCTAGCTGTTCCTCACCAACCTTGGAGGCGGGCGCCAGCGAGGCCGTTGCAGACCCAGGAGAGTCCCAGGCTCTTTTCCCGCAAGCCGCAAACAGCAGCTGCGAAGGCGGGGCCTCGCGCGCCTGCGCACCGGTGCCCTAGACGCGCAACTCTGGCCGTGGCAGCCGCATTCCTTCCCTGAGCGCGCGGAGGAGCGGTTGACTCCGCTGGTCGGTGGACGGTTCAGCCGCAGGGGTGCTCCGCGGGGCTCCCCGGCAGCGTGGCCCCCCCTTCAAGTATTTCCCGCGCCTACCTCTCCCGAGGAGAATCGAAGACGCAAGGCGGCGAGGCGAGTTTCTCTCCAACCACCGCCGGGGCAGGAGTTGGGGTTGTCCAGGTCTTGGAGGGCAGCCAAACCCAGCCCAACCCAGCCCACTGTTAGGCTGAAGCAAAACCCAGGCCCCAAAATGTCAGTTAGCAGCTTCCTCTAGATGTCAGGCCCTGATGAGACAACCTGATAAGACAACCGCAGTAGCAGAACCTGCCCATACTGTAAAGTCCTATGCAGTGACAGACTTCCTCTTCTGAAGCACCCTCCTGCTAATTAAGTGCAAACCCCTGCTAACAGCTAATTGAACCCTGCCATTTCCTTAAAGGACCCTGACACTCCCCTGCTGTCCCCAAACAGGTCCTCTCTGTGTTTATAAAAATCCATGCCCCCTGCCCGGGGGTGCGACTTCTCTAGCCCTGCTGTTAGGGCATGAGAACCTCGCCCGGAGTGCCAATAAACTGCTGCTCTAAAACAACTCGGTGTCTTGGTAACTCAGCTTTACACCCACTACGGTGGAGACTCATAGTGACCCTGTTGGACAGACATCTGCCCCATAGGGTTTCCGCTGAGCGGCTGGTGGGTTCGAATCGACATTGCAGTTAGCAGCCGAGTGCTCCTTGGAGGGCGGAAGCGGAAAGGGAAAGAAGGATGGTTCCTAACCTCAGTGTTTGTACATCAGAATAATCTATGGACCTTGGGAGAAAAAAGATGCCCAGGTCTGGAATCAAAGAGTCTGATTCGATAGGTCCTAATTTCTGTTGGGGAAATTACAGGCAATTCTGATGCTAGGTTGAAAATAACTGCACAAGTAGCTACAATTTAGGCTCCTAGGAGCAAGGAAGGGGTGGGGGCGAGGAGGACTTCTGGGATAAGTGAAGAACATTCCAGGTGAAACTAGAACTGAAACAGTTGGGACACTAAAGAGAAAATTATATTTGGGGAAATACCTTGGGGATGTGTTTGTTGTTGGATAGTTGGAATAAGCCAGATTTGTAAGGTCACTGAAAACTAGAAAACAATTTTCTGGTTTAGAATAAAGAGATATAAAGACATTTGCCTTTAAATGTACAATCTAATTAATAAGACAATCCAAAAGAAACCAAAATATTTTAATCAAGATGGAGACCTGAGCACACACATCTACTTTATCTTCTGCCTAAAATCCCACAATCAAAACAAACAAACGAAAAACAAACTCACTGCCCTCAAGGCAATTCAACTCATAGTGACCCCTCCTTGGGTTTCCAAGGCAGTATCACTATGGAAGTAGATTGTCCAATTTTCCTTCCGAGGAGTGGCTGGTGGGTTTGAACCACTAGCCTTCCGGTTAGCAGTCAAATGCCTTAGGCACTACACCACCAGAGCTCCCAAAATCCCATAATAGTTATTTGCCATCAAGTCGCCCCGACTCCTAGCGACCCCTCTTTGGGTTTCCGAGGCAGTTATCACTACGGAAGTAGGATTGCCCAACCTTCCTTCCGAGGCCTCTGTTCCCCAGACCTACAGATGTGTTTTGTCTGTTTGTTTGCTTCTGTTGTTACACAAAAGGAGCTCTGGTGGCTCAGTGGTTAAAGCATTCAGCTGTTAACCAAAAGGTCGGTGGTTCAAACCCACCAAGTGCTCCATGGAAGAAAGATGAAGCAATCTGCTTCCCTAAAGATTTACAGCCTTGGAGCCCTATGGGGCAGTTCTAATCGTCCTATAGTTTCACTATGGGTTTGAACCGCCAGCCTTTCGGTTAGCAGTCAAGTGCCTTAGGCACTATGCTACCGGAGCTCCTATAATAATATAAATCCCATAATAGTAGAAATAAATTTTAAAAATGTCTGAAGGAACAGAAAATGCCATCAATAAACCAGGGATATTGAGGAACTCCTGAAAGACAAAACAGAGACAAAATTTATGACAATGGACAGGTCTGAAGAGCAAATTATCAAAAGGAAAATGGAAACATGGAGACTGGATCCAGGCATCCCAACATTTGGATGACAGAGTTATAGAAAGAACAAAGAATGGTGGGGAAACTTTCAGTTCATTTATTACTTAATCCCTGTAAATTCACAATGTTGATAACAATGATATTTTGGGTCCCAGAAATTAGTGTTACTTGGAATTAGTGATAATCATTGAAAAGTTTGGGTATGTTCTTTGCTCCAGTGCAGTTATTCAAAAGGATCAGATAGCCTTTGGGGAAAGGCTGAGAGGAAGATTTGCAGCATCATTCTTCAAGAATATTTTGCCTAGGTCATGAGGTTCTGGGTCTGGGATCTGAATTAGTTCTGGTAATAGGATAGGCACCCTAGTGGTATAATGGTGAAGTACTCTAACAAGTAATATGTCGTTCAGTTATGAGGGGCCTCTGTTCCCCAGACCTACAGTTAGTTGTGTTTTGTCCGTTTGTTTGCTTCTGTTGTTACACAAAAGGAGCTCTGGTGGCTCAGTGGTTAAAGCATTCAGCTGTTAACCAAAAGGTCAGTGGTTCAAACCCACCAAGTGCTCCATGGAAGAAAGATGAAGCAATCTGCTTCCCGAAAGATTTACAGCTTTGGAACCCTATGGGGCAGTTCTAATCGTCCTATAGTTTCACTATCAGTCGGCTCCACTCAATGGCAATGTGGTAGGGGCTTGTTACACAAATCAAAAACTTAGAGGGTTGTTTCTTGAGTTTATTTCTTGGGATCCTACAGTTACCCAGAGAGCTCTGTGGGTCAGGCCAATTTGTTTCCCACCCTGTTGCCTATTACAAGGCCAGAGCCCATTTATCTTCTGGTAATTAACTGCCTCCCCCTGGTCTCCTCCCCTCCCTCCCTGCATGTGGGAGGGTATTCCAACTGCAGCTGCTCCTACCAGCATTCCTGCCTTTGAAAATAGCCAGTAAAGATTTTTATTTTTTAAGCCTCTGGAGCTTGCTTTATTAATTTGTGCCTATGACAAGGATGAGGGGAGTCTTTTGAAAAACAGTGAGGGAGTAGGTTTGTTAGAAGCACATGAAGCCTATTCAGCTTTCCCTGCCTCCTAAAGTGTTTAACAGTATGCCCGATTTTAGGCCATTTGATGCCATCATTCAGTCTCATTTCCCACAACAATTACTCCAAGCCTTTGCTACCCTCTGTTTCAACTCTTACCCCACCCACTCCTGCCCCACTCCCAAGAATGACTTTGTTCCCACTCCCAGAGGAACTGGAGGCTAAACTTCCAGCCTGGGTCTCTAATAGCCCCCCTCATATCTTTCCTCCTAGTCTGAGAGGGTGAGGGGGGTGATCCATCCTACTCCTGCTCTTCTAGGGCCATGAACTTGTCCTTTGGTTACTCTTCCACAGTCCTGTATATTCCACATCTCTTTCCTTTTCTGTAACATAAGATTATGCTCTGAGCCCTTTTACTTATACAGAAGGAAACACTTTCTCTTAACTGTACATCCCCCTCCAGCTACTGCCTTTCCTTCAAAATGAAGTTCCTTTAATGAACAGTTTACACTCATTTTCTCCACTTTTGGATCCATCATTGACTATTCGATCCAAACCAATCAGTGCTATTCTGGACACCTTTCTTAAATAACTATTACCAAAATAACCAGTGGCCTTTTAATTGACAAATCGCATGGACTTTTCAATTTTTTCATCTTACACATTCTCTGCAGTTTACTCTTGGTGTCTCTTCACTTTCTGAAAATATCTCCTCTTTGAGTTTGTATGATGCTGCTGCCTTGGGCTTGGCTCTAGCTTTCCACTCTTCTTCTCATTTCGATTATTCCTTTATATGTCCATGAATCCCTGGGAT